GTCTCCACTTCGTGTATCCCACTAAAATGATAAAAGAAAAATTATATTAAATTTATGTGTTGTAAAAATATGAAAAAACCAATATGGCCTCAAAATATAAACAAAGATGTAGTTACCGTTACGAGAGACTTTGTTAGGTTTACAGATGTTCAGATAAAAATGCGTCTAGAATATCAAAATGTGTTTTTTGTAAATAAGCTTATACCCATCAAGATTCTAACACAAACACCTCAAATTAAAAATATCACAAAGGCGTTCAAAATACGAATACGAAAATGAAAACAAGGTTTCCGACACCAGTGAAGTAAGTGCTCTTCATAAGTGGTATCTGCACATCATTAAACCTAAACATAGCTAACCTATTTTTTTTCTAATAGCATTTAAATGATTTACAAAATGCGAAGATGCTTCGATGCAATTGATGTGCATACAATAACTATTTGGTTTATATGATTTCAGGTTTATACCACTCGGTGCATGAGGAACCACATCAAAATTTTTTTTTTAAAGAGGCATATAGGTAGAAACTGCGACAACAATTTTAAAATGCCTCAATTCTGTAATATCCTTGTCTGGGACAAAATATTTGCTCATATGCAGAATTATTATTTGATTTTTTAACACAATAATCCCAAAACCTCCCAGTAAAGTCTCAAGAAGAGAGACTTTACTGCACCCATACCAAATCGGACTATTTTTACCAAATATTAATACTTACACAAATAATTTTCTTATCCGATGTACCAGCAACAAACAAATGCTGTTTATTATTGTCCGGGTGAAACTTGACACAGAATGGCATTTTGCGAGCTGTAAAACGTGAAACCACCTCTCCCGTTTCGGCATCCCATAGCTTAATGTAACGATCATATGAGGCCGATAGAAATTTGGTACCCTTATTATTCCAAGCAATATCTTTTATAGCCTGTCGATGACCATTAAATGTGCGTATACATCTACGTTCACCATAGACTTCCCATAATTTGACACGACAATCCATTGAACCGGACAATAGTAAATGTGCTGTTCGTGGAAACCAACGTATGGCTGATATGCCTTTGGTATGACCCGTCCAGGTATGTATGTGCGCTTTGGGTAGGAAACATTTTGTCGGTGGAGCTCCGGTTCTTAGATTTACATCAAGATCATGAGGTGCGTGAAGATATGAACGCCCCTGATAATCATATGCATCTTTAACTGTTTGTGGAAATCAAAAAAGAAAATTATTAGAAAATTATTGAGAAAATCTTCAAGATCATTTAACTTACTGTGTAATATTGATTTCTCTTCCAATGGCTTGTCTTCTGGTATTCTATTGCGGCGATGCCTCTTCGACAAGATCTCTTCCAATTCAGCTTTTTCTTGTTCATTTGGCTTAGCCACCCGCTGTTCATCTTTATACTGTCCCCATGGCCCGAGAAATCCCTCAATATCTTCCGGATTGTCATTTTTCTCCTGTTTTCGTTTCTTCTTTGGCTTCGGTGCCTCAAACACTGTTTTGCCATCGTCATCATAGGCCGATTGTAAGTCTCCAACAAATGAACGGCCATCGGCCTCTTCATCCACGGACGGATCTAAGGCATAGCCATATGTGTGAAATGTTCTACGTTGATTTTCAAACTCGAATGCATTGATGTGAGCTTTCTCTACATAACCGGCCAATGTATTTCGTGCCGCTTTCATTTGTTGTGTCAAGTCAGGATTTTCTGGTCCTTTCACCGGGGCAAACAGCTCTTCATAACGTGGATTGTATTCAACTTCTTTGAGTGTTGGATCTATGGTACGTTGAACGGCAGCTGAGCCCATCGGTACAACTTCTGGAGCTGCACATACGGCCAATGATTTAGCCACCGAAAGTTTCGGATCGACGGGCTTGAGGTAGTCTGGCATTTCTTCTTTTCTTTTTGTTGCTTCTGTTGTGCTCTTTTCTCCGTCAGCTTTTGGAATCTCCTCATTCTCTGAATGTTCTTCTTCAGAAGAACTACCATAGTTTTGTATTCCAAGCATTTTTAAAGGAAAATCTAAAAAACCACTAAATAAAATTCGACGCCACCACCACACGAGAACAAGAGCTGAATCAAAATACAAAGGCAAGCGTTAAAATCAACGCCGTCATATAAATAGGCTACAAAGAAGCAAGGGAAAGTGTCGATAAAGAACAAAATCAAAACAAAACCAGTAAAGAAAGTCTTAAAGTTGGAGCGGGCCGACTTTATGATACCCTACACCACTTTGCTAATTTAGTAGAGCTGCGCATAACAATTAAAAGTTTTTATGGGAGAATTGTATGATACGCTATGATTATAATTATAATTTGAATTTCAAAGGACTAAATATGCCGAAGCATTTGTATCTTTTAAATTCGAACTTGTATTGCCCATATGGTGCACAATTAATTTGAAATCGGATAAAGATATATATGGGAGCTATATCCAAATCGGAACCGATCTCGATAAAATTTGGCAAAGATATTTCTGAGCTGTATTTGATATATTTCCCTGAATATCGTTGTTACGGAGTGAATATTACGGCTGTGGGTAATAAATATGACAAATCGGATGAACAATATATATGGGAGCTATAGCTATATCTGAACCGATTTCGATCAAATTTGCCATACATATTTTCAGGTCCTATCTGATCGTACGTGCAAAATTCCATACTATTCGGACTGATATTACACGTTTGGTGCACAATAAAACGCAAATCGGACGAAGATATATATGGGAGCTATATCTAAATTTTGACCGATTATCTCCAATTTCAATAGGGTTCGTCCTTGGGCCAAACAAATGATTTGTGCAAAATTTCATCTGCATAGGGCAATAAATGCGAACTGTACTTTGTTTACAAAAATACATGGACAGACGGACGGGCATGCATAATCGACTCAGACTCAGGGTCTATCTCGTTGCCTTTTGCCTGTTACAAACAAATGCACAAAGACATAATACCCTGACCACCTTGTGGTGTAGGGTATAAATATGCACAATCTGTGGGTTCTAAAGATCGTAAATGGGCCCGATGTAGGGAATTAGAAGCGTGTTTTCGCCCAGAACAGTGTTACCCAAACTTCGACGTACTAAGTCGACATTAGAAAAAGCATGGTAGAAGAATATAGGTAGACGCGTCGACACAGCTGCTGGGACAATGAACTGTCAAACCAATTTTGAAATTGAAAATGTTGAATGAAAAATTATTTAAATTTGTAAAAATTGTTGAAAACGCGAATTATAATAGCCTCCGAATAACGTACTATAAGAAAACATATAAAAATTTACTTATATTTGAAAAAAAATTAAATTTTTTTGACACATCAATGCTCCCAAGCGTTGAAGCATCTACCTGTATTCTTCTTCAATGAGAAAAAGCATGAGCAACTGCTGATAGCTGGGATTGCTAATATTTTTCTTCATTTTAATGTCACAATTTGCGGTATAAATAAACGATTTGGAAAATTTAATAATTAAAGATTAAAAACTGCAAAATAAAAGTACGAGTAATAGAAATGATAAAAGACTGGTAAAAAACAGTAGAAATCGTGGGGTGAAAGAAAATATATGTGGTTAAATTTGAGATTCTAATTTTGTGGAGCACATAAAATATGTTGTGGAGTCTGCTGATGATTTTGGAGCAGTCTTGAAAAATTGACTCTAAACTGAATTTGCTGAAAAACGCATACAAAATGTCTTTTGGAAAAAGCATGCTTGCCTACACTTAAGGTGAGGGCACATAAGCAGATTGGTATCATGGCATATCAATGTTCCCAAGCGTTGATGCATCTGCCTGTAAGTCAGTAGTTATTGTCTATTGACAGTAAAAGTATTTTTTTTTTTTTTTTTTTTGTAAAAACAGGCCGTTAAAGCAAAGACATAAAATGTGTCTACAATACATAGATTAACAGCTCAAGAGTAGACAGCTCAAGAGTAGAGTAACAGCTCAGCTCTTAATATAAAAACCACAATTACGGAAACGAATGACAAACAAAATCCAAAAATGTGGTTGAAAAATCCAAAAATGTGGTTTCGAAATTAAATTCCATAGACCTTTCCAAAAATTTGCATATTGTCTTAGCGGTTTAAATCTAAATCAGTTAACACTGGTAACTATAGTTGTGTTCCAGAACCTGCAAATTAGTACTAATTAGCACTAATTCTGCTACAACGCGTTCCCGTACTCCAAAAACTAGCAAAACTTGCATCTCTCTCGAGAAAAAAATGGCGCTGAGTGGTGCACATTTCTGCTTGTTTTAGCTACATTGTTACGTATTCCTGATTGGCGGCGTTAAAAGTGACCCTCCGGCTGCTAGCGGTCTCGGGGTCTGGTTCTCAACCGTCACTTTGTAACACCTCAGGACGAACACGAAATTGGAACTTTACACATCACAAATACAATACACTACACAAACACAACACCTGCTCAGACAAGGGAGAGTTGATGTTTCTACTCCCGCATTCGCCCACCCTTCCATGGTCTTCAGGGTTCCTTTTTAAAGTAATTTTTTGAAGACCCCACACACACTCACCGTTGAACAAATCTCACGGTTCCAAAAGGGTATGCTTACCATTGAAGTTCCAGAAATGCCCGGCCATGAGACTTCAGGGCTGTGGGAGTTCCCCACGTGGAATAATAAAACCTTCCGCACATCGACCTTTGCAAAATTAACTCAGCAAAGGGTCGAAGTTTTGTTGCGTCGGGTGGGCCATCAGGGGGCGTGTAGGCTACATGGCTTACCTGGAAAATTCAATGTAAATAGTTTTTACATTGTTTTTAAAATATGCCATTTGTTTACTTACCCCAGTAGCTATTTCTTTGAAAAGAGAAATAGCTCAGAGACCCGATTCAGAAAAATAAAATTTTAAAGTTAGATGCTGTTGCGCATCAGGCGAAATGAAAAAGAAAATGACAAGAAGGAAATGGATGGCGTTGCCATTATAAAAGAATAGGGATCGTTCAATCGTTATTTGGCTACGGATTTATACAACCATGGCTGAGTAGCCATTTCGTAGCTACCCTATCGCCATCAACAAGGTCCATAATAAATATTGGAAATTTTAGGAAAAATGGTGGCAAAATGAAGCGACTATAAAAAGGGGGAAAATAGGAAAATTGGCAACATAGTGTTGCAAAAGATCTAAGCAAGAAGACGGTCCAAAGTAGTTTTTAACACTAAAAAAAAGTGAATATTTATATGTGTGTTTACTTGTTAACAAAAAGTGAGAACATCATACTAGTGACAGTGGGAAAGCAAACAACATTTTTATTTTTGTATTTTTTTTATATATAAAGGTTCCCCAAAATCACAATATTTTTTTTGGTCTCCACTGACTGCTGAGTGGGGATCTGGTGTTAAATGCCCGGTCCTTGGGTTTAAATTGGCCGTTGAATTTGAAGGTCTCCCTGTTTGGTGTCATACTTCTGTTTGGTGTCCGTATCTGAGGCAGCGGAATTTGGGTCAAAATTGATCGGATGGCCACAAGTTGGAGATTTTTTTTTGATCGCAAGTTGTCATCTCCTATGGCATAAAAATTAATATTTTGCCACGTAATTAATGACCAGGTAATAGACACCCTTTTTCTTTATCCATGTTTTGGAGCACGGAAGAATATCCAGGGAATTGCAACTAAAAAAGAAAGAGAAATCGACAAATTAAGAAAATTTATTTGAAAAAAAATCAAAAAAAAAAAAAAAAAAAAAAAAAAAAAATTAATTTAAATAACGATAGGAGAATATTGATAGACATGCAAATTATTTTAATATAAACATATTGCAAATTTAATTGAATAGTATAAGTATGTGTTGTGATGTCCTCTCTTAATGTTTTAATGTAAGGATGTTTAACGCCAGTTTCCTTTAAATTTCACCTAGTACTATATGAGCAATATCCAGGGAAAGCTAGAGGGTGTAGTCGTATGTTTCAATTCGAGCCAATTTTGGCTAGTGAGGCCGTTGTAAGAGAGCTCCTTTACAGTAGGTAATATTTTGTTTAGAATTTGAGGTCTGAAAAGTGCAGACAAAATTCCCTAGGTTTCTCACAAGGAAAATTTGCTATTTTTCATATGTTTACAATTTTTTTTAATCTGGTGTTAGATTGTCCGTTTTAAAGATCGACAAAATGTATCTGTATTTAGCTGTAAGTCCTTTCTGTCAATAAATAATGTTGTGATTAGAATTAGACTAAAAATAAACTATGTGTTAAATTTTTGTTAATAGGGCAATTTTCTAGCTAGGTAAAGAGGTGAGTGTGTGTGGGGTCTTCAAAAAATTACTTTAAAAAGGAACCCTGAAGACCATGGAAGGGTGGGCGAATGCGGGAGTAGAAACATCAACTCTCCCTTGTCTGAGCAGGTGTTGTGTTTGTGTAGTGTATTGTATTTGTGATGTGTAAAGTTCCAATTTCGTGTTCGTCCTGAGGTGTTACAAAGTGACGGTTGAGAACCAGACCCCGAGACCGCTAGCAGCCGGAGGGTCACTTTTAACGCCGCCAATCAGGAATACGTAACAGATGGCGCCCAACTATTAAAAAAATAAGGTTCTGTCGAACCCAAAAACTCAGTAATCGGTGCAATAACATCTAACCACCTTGATATAGACCATAGGAAAAAAATAGACATAAGTTATATCGCAATATTCTTCAGCCTTGCTGATATTGATCCATATTTTCTTTGAAAATATGTAAGTGCAATATTAGTTTTAGGAATTAGAATATTTAGGATATTACTTCCATAACAATAATCGGTCAGTGCAATAGCTTGTTCGTCGTGAGTGTAACAATGTATGTATTGTAAATGACCTGTTTAGTGTTGTTTGTGTAAACTTATTAACGTAGCTGAAATAGGTAGGATTTTTGATTTCTGGGAAATGTGCAATATTCACCGATATATGAATTATCAGGTGACAGTTGCTCTCCTATTTTACGAGATCTTTTTCTTGATGGTTATAACAAGAAAATGCCGTGAAAAAAGGGATCAAAAGTTCTAAATAAAAAAGATAAAGTTAAAAACAAAAAAAAAAAACATTTTTCGTAATAGTATTTGTTCTGAACCTGCTTGGATAACCGAAAGGGCATTTTTATAAAAGAAATATAAAACACACACCTCTATGAAATAACCTAAAATGAAAATCCCTATATAGTATTTATTGAAATATTAAAAAATTGTGCTGTCTTAATTTTTGTATGCTGTTTGAATTGTGTCGTCATTTTTATATTTATTTTTAAATTTTGTTTTGGTTATTTTTTTATATTGATTTTTATTTTTTTATATAATTATTTTAATTACTTATATTTAATATTTATATTTTTTTATAATTTTTATATTTTTTATTTTTTTATATATTTTTTTTTAAATATTAGTGTTGTGACGGATTTATATGTATAATCAGTTTTGACAGATCTTATTTATAAATCGGACAAACCTATTTATTTTCATCAAACATTGGTCGAAACACAGGCTTTTTTGCCAATGACTGATGAAATTGACTCTGAAGCTACACGTCGAAGTAAGCGAAATCGTACAGCTTCCTTTGACATTAGCAGAAACTATTTTCAATCTGTTCCAAAACATAGGAAAAAAGCAAATAGTGGCAAAATGGTTAATCCACCGTCTACGGGAGATCAGTCGATTATTGACATGTCTCAAAGCATAAATTCCAATCCTCAACCAAATAATGGAGTGTCAAATAGAAACCCAACAGATCCTCAACGGATAAACAATAATGTAAACGGCAACCCTGATGAGAATATGTTAAGGCAAATGGTAAATGAGAATGTTGCAAATGTTCAACTAAATCTAAGGCCTTTAATTCAAGAATGTGTAGGAGGTGAATTAAAAAAGGTTTATGAAGCTATTGGAAAGTTAGGGGATATGGTTAAGAACATAACCGATACTGCTAGTGCAACTAATCAAACCATTTTTCAACCTAGTAACATACATCGCGATTTTACCGCTCCTCCACCACTATTTCTAAATAACAGACCTCCAGAGATACCATCATCTAACATGATGTTATTTCCTCCCGGCCCCAATTTGGAGAGGCCTAGCAAAGTGGAGAAGTTTAAACTGAAGTTTGATGGTAATCCTTCTGGAATTTCTGTAGAAGATTTCGTTTTTAGATTAGAGTATTTGAAGAACCAATACAAAGTATCTTGGGAAGACATTTTTGCTGAATTCCAGAGTTTGTTGTCGGGTGGAGCGTATGAATGGTACTGGCTACAAATTAAAACTGGCGTAGTGCGAGATTGGTCTTCGTTGAAAGACGCCCTGTTCAGGAGATATAGCACCACTAGGTCAAATTTTGATGTCATGAGCGAAATTGTAGAAAGGAAGATAAAGCCAGGGGAAAGCTTAGATAATTTTTTTCAAGTCATAAATACCTTGAGGTCGAAGTTAAGCCAGCCAATATCTGAGAGAGAAATCATCCAGATTGTTAAGAGAAATTTGAAAGGTGAAATATTTAGAATGATTTATCCCATGAGCATACATTCAATGGAAGAACTCAGGATGGAATGCATAAGAGCTGAAAAAACTTGCAACAAGCGAGATGTGAGGTATATGCCTCCACCTCCATACCAAAATGTTAGAGTACACGAGTTGCAAACATGCGAGGATAATTACTATGTAAATGAAACCATGCCAGAAGTGTCTGAGATCCAAGGGGAACAAATTTGTTGGAACTGTCGTAGGCCAGGACATCGGTTTATGGATTGTTTGTCGGCACAAAGATCACTATTCTGCTACAGATGTGGCCAACCGAACACCGTCGCACCAAAGTGTCCGAGGTGCCAATCGGAAAACGGGAAAAGGAACACAGTGTCAGCGGGAACATCGTGTTCGACAGACAGACCCGTAACATCCAAACAACAACAAAATGCTTAGAGCAACTTAATTATCCGTCCATTCGGCATTACCTACCAATAGAAGTTCGAAAAGCGAACTATGAAATTATAAGAAGACACATCTTTGAGGAGAAAAAAAATTGTGAGGGATTGACTGAAACAGAAGTCACCAAAGATGATGAAAAGGTGATAGTAGTTCCTAAGAAAGCCAAAAATCCAAAAAGTTAGATAGAATTCTGAAGCTCCGACATAGAAAAAAAGAAAACAAAATGATTAAAAAAATGCTTATTGAATCGGTGAGAAAATACAATGAAACATCTGATCAAAGGCCTTACGCCACCATAACTATTGAAGGTCAAGAACTAAAAGGACTGCTGGACTCTGGAGCCACAGTTTCGGTTCTCGGTAAAGGATGTAGAGAGTTAGTAGACAAGTTAAAAATGGAACCAGATTTTTATTATACCAATGTTAGAACCGCTTCAGGCCAATTACATCGAGTGTTAGGAAAGATAAGAGTAAAAGTCCAATACAAAGATATCGAAAGAGAGATAAGTTTCTACATGTGTCCAGACCTAGAACAGCCTTTATATTTAGGAATTGATTTTTGGAAAGCTTTTAATTTAGCCCCTGATATAGTATCAGTCAATGTCATAGACATAGAAAAAATCCAAAACAAATTCGTGGAGGAGAACGATTATCCGAGAGAAATACATAACCTTACAAATGATCAAAAAGAACGGTTGCAAAAGACTGTGGAATCATTCCCTTCTTTTGAGAAAATGGGTCTAGGGCATACAACGCTGGAAAAACATTCAATCAAACTTGTTGAGGGAACAAATCCTATTAAAGATAGACATTACCCCATTTCCCCAGCGGTGCAAGAAATAATTTACCAAGAAATAGATAAAATGTTGGAACTAAACGTCATTGAAGAGAGCAATAGTGCGTGGAATAATCGAATTACGATAGTGCGGAAACCAGGAAAGAATCGTTTCTGTTTAGACGCGCGGAAATTAAATGCTGTAACGATGAAAGACGCGTATCCGCTTCAAAATATTGATGGAATTTTGAGCCGTATAGATCAAACTGTTTTTATTAGTAGTGTTGATTTAAAACATGCCTTTTGGCAGATAGAGCTGGATAAAGAGTCAAGACCATACACTGCCTTTACTGTCCCAGGACGTCCGCTCTATCAATTTAGAATGATGCCTTTCGGGCTATGTAATGCGGCGCAGCGTCTTTGTCGATTGATGGATAAAGTTATTCCGTCTCGTCTAAAATCCAATGTCTTTATTTATTTAGACGATTTGTTAGTTATTTCAGAGGATTTCGAAACACATTTAAAACTATTAGATCAAGTTGCCGACTGTTTAAGAAAAGCCAACCTCACGATAGGACTTAAAAAGAGCAAATTCTGTTTTAAAGAACTAAAATATCTAGGCTTTGTAATTGGAGGGGGTGTATTAAAAACGGATCCTGAAAAGGTAATGGCCATTAAAAACTTGAAAGTGCCAAAATGTCCACGAGATGTAAGAAGTTTTTTGGGAACAGCGGGGTGGTACCGCAGATTTATTAAAAATTTTGCCAGCATATCTGCGCCTTTAACAGATACACTCAAAAAAGGACCAAAATTCTTGATGACCAAGAACGCCATAGATGCATTTGAGGAGTTGAAGAATGCCTTGACAACGGCCCCGGTGTTAAAACATCCGGATTTCTCCAAACAATTTTATATCCAATGTGATGCATCGGAATACGGAATAGGGGCCGTATTATTCCAGAAGGGAGACCATGATGAGGAATACCCTATAGCCTTCTACTCCCAAAAGTTGAATGATTGCCAAAAAAACTATAGTGTGACAGAGAAAGAATGCTTGGCGGCCGTTATGGCAGTAAAAAGATTCAGACCCTATGTGGAAATGATGAAATTTACGGTCATAACGGACCATGCCAGCCTGAAATGGCTCATGGGGGTGAAAGACCTTAGTGGTAGATTAGCTCGATGGTCCCTGCAGTTACAGGGATACAACTTCAATATTGAACATCGAAAAGGAAAAGACAACGTAGTGGCAGACATGTTGTCACGCTTGGAAGTTGTAGAAGATGTCGAAATTGTGGACGATCTTTTCGACTTTGAAACAGCCGAGTTCGAAAGTCAGGAATACAAAGACTTGATCGGTGATATCGAAAAAAATACAGCCAAATTACCTGATCTGAAAATTGAGAATGGACTTATTTTCAAGCGTACCAAAACAGAAAATGATTTAGATTTTGAGGAAATGCCGTGGAAATTATGGATTCCCGAATCCCTAACATATCTTTTGATAGAAAAGGCACATAATGAAGTGACCTCTGCTCACGGGGGAATAACAAAAACATTGCATCGTCTACAACGATTTTATTATTGGCCAAAAATGGCATCACAAGTAAGGGCATTTGTTGTGAACTGTAGGACATGTAAGGAGACAAAACCCCTAAATAGAAATATGCAACCTACTATAGGATGTGAGGTCGTTACTGAACGTCCATTCCAAAAATTATATATGGACTTTTTAGGAAAGTATCCTCGTTCGAAAGGTGGTAACAGCTATATTTTTATAGTTGTCGATCATTTTTCCAAATTCGTATTTCTAAAAGCCATGAGAGAAGCAACCACCTCAAATGTAGTCCAATTTCTTGTACAAGAAATCTTCAGAAAGTTTGGAGTTCCAGAAACGATTCACACGGACAATGGAGCGCAGTTTACTGCTAAGGGTTTCAGAGAAATGATCGAAACCTTTAAAATCAACCATATGCAAACGGCACCGTATTCACCACAATCTAACGCCTCAGAGAGGGTAAACCAATCTGTATTGGCTGCAATCCGGGCATATTTGAACGAAGATCATAGGGAATGGGACACATATTTAACAGAAATCGAATGTGCTTTACGATCATCAATCCACTCTTCAACGGGGGTAACTCCGTTCTTTGCATTATTTGGTTACGAGATGTACACGTCCGGCAGTGACTACAAGCTAGCCCGCAAACTACAATCTTTATGCGATCATCAGATAAATGAATTAGGCAGAAAAGAACGGTTGGAAATAATCAGGGACAAAATTGAGAAAAACCTACACGAGGCCTACGAGCGGAGTGCGAAACGCTACAATCAAAGGGCCCGAATAGTTAAATTCATTCCCGGACAGGAGGCCTACAGGAAAAATCATATATTGAGCGATTTTGGGAAAAATATAAACGCCAAATTTTGTCGCAAGTACCTAAAGTGCAGAATAGTCAAACCGATTGGTAGCAATATGTATGAAATAGAAGATATGCAGGGAAAGCCTTTAGGAACCTGCCACGTGAAGGATCTGAAGATGTAGAGCTTAATGGCGAAATTGTTTTTTGATTAAGATAAAGTCGAAACAATATAGGTGGTCAAAGTGGCTAACTGAGCTACGGCCAAAAACCATGTAGCTGAAATCTAACCACATAAATGGTTTCCCATCATAGGGGCAGGTCGGAACTATGCCATCGCGAACCTAGGGAATTTAGGCCAAAGTGGTAGATATCCTAGTTAGGTTTTGATCACGTAATAGCTTCGACCACTATCGTTAATAAAAAAACAGAGTATCCATATAAAGGGTGAAGACGAATGTCATGATAAAATGTAACTTAGCCCCATTATTAAAAACGTAAAACTTAATATCCCAAATTTCGTATAAAACTGAAATATTTTCTTGTTGACCCATTTTGAGGAAATGACATTATGTTTCGCCGGTTATTAAAAGTTATACTGGTGATTTTCCAGTTTGTAAAACGTGATGTGTTGGTGTCAATATTGTATATATTGTCTTATTGATAAACAAACGTAACAAAAAAACATATCACCAATAATTTCGTCAGGCAGATAAAGTTAAGTTACCATAAATTAAATTATTGTGGAAGTATCTTAAATAAGAACCTAATAAACTCAGCTAAATTCTGTTCACTTTTGTGCCCATTATTTGGACAAGAATTGTGGAAGCATGGTACAAATTTTGCTTTGAAAGACTCAATTTTGAACATTGAACATCTATTCGATCCAAAAGCGAAAATATTAATATAAATCTCAAGAGATTTAAAACACTTTGAACATTATTTTGTATATTTATTAGGCCAATAAAAACATCTCTGCTTTTATATAAAAAGGCTAAAAAAATCACCTCCTAACTCCTAACAAGTTAAACTGCCTAAAAACAATTTCAGAAATGTATCACTCACCTGTACATATCATGGTAAAATAACTCCTTCACATGGATAAAATTTCGATGGGGGAAAAATAAATATAAAATCAACACTTCCACCGCAGATTGAGCCCATATTAGCCACCTCATGTTTTGTTCTGGGACGTCTGCAATATGTACACAAAAATTAGACAATGTTTTTTTTTGTAAAGCAAAAAAAAGTAATAAATATACTCACGGTTTTCCACTTACACCAGGGACAGACGCTTTATTGCGCGATAGTTAGTTTTCTATTTTACGAATACCATGCTTTTATCCATATAAACACACAATTCCGAAAGATTTGGAGCAAAACAAGTTCATGTTAGGCAGGAATTTGTTCAAAAATAAGTAAGCGCAGTATAACTAATTCTTAATGACCGGACAATAACAATAATATGACCCCCGACTCAGCAGTATCTGAAAAAAAAAAAAAAAATTAAAATTACTACGGCATTTATAAACAGTAAAGGTTTAACTTACAATTTCATAAACCCAAAGGAGTACGTAGTGGTTGGAGGGCTGAATAAAAGCATTGAATACACCATACACCATTCAATGATGGTTGGTGTAGCCCAAATGGGGATTTTACCCAAAAATTAAAAAGGAATCACCACAGCTCACTCACGGCCAAACAATAACCACACAAGTTTGGTAGAACGTACGCATTTCACTTTCTGCACACTACAAATTCTGCCAAATGATACTGAAGAAATCCATGTTAAGGAACTTTACTCATATCCCAGTCGAACCGAGTAACCTAAAAAAATATGCATTAATATAGGGGTAGATATAAATAAAAATATATAAATTATACTCACAGTCTCCTTAAATATTGTTCGGGTGCTTCAAATCAAAAAAATTCTCCAAATAATTCAGGTGTAATCTGGAATTTTTCAATTATGTCGGCAAACACGTCTGTATGAATAAAGAAGAGAAATAAAAACAGTCTTCTTCTTATTTCCATTCATCAACATTTCATTCAGCGTGAATGGATAACATTGTAGAAACTAAGGTTGCCACCTTGCTATATACGCATAAACGTATGGGGGGACGGGTCGTACCATAACGCATACATGTATATGTGTGCATACATTAAAAAAATGACGCCACACAAAGTACCGTTGAACAAATCTCACGGTTCCAAAAGGGTATGCTTACCATTGAAGTTCCAGAAATGCCCGGCCATGAGACTTCAGGGCTGTGGGAGTTCCCCACGTGGAATAATAAAACCTTCCGCACATCGACCTTTGCAAAATTAACTCAGCAAAGGGTCGAAGTTTTGTTGCGTCGGGTGGGCCATCAGGGGGCGTGTAGGCTACATGGCTTACCTGGAAAATTCAATGTAAATAGTTTTTACATTGTTTTTAAAATATGCCATTTGTTTACTTACCCCAGTAGCTATTTCTTTGAAAAGAGAAATAGCTCAGAGACCCGATTCAGAAAAATAAAATTTTAAAGTTAGATGCTGTTGCGCATCAGGCGAAATGAAAAAGAAAATGACAAGAAGGAAATGGATGGCGTTGCCATTATAAAAGAATAGGGATCGTTCAATCGTTATTTGGCTACGGATTTATACAACCATGGCTGAGTAGCCATTTCGTAGCTACCCTATCGCCATCAACAAGGTCCATAATAAATATTGGAAATTTTAGGAAAAATGGTGGCAAAATGAAGCGACTATAAAAAGGGGGAAAATAGGAAAATTGGCAACATAGTGTTGCAAAAGATCTAAGCAAGAAGACGGTCCAAAGTAGTTTTTAACACTAAAAAAAAGTGAATATTTATATGTGTGTTTACTTGTTAACAAAAAGTGAGAACATCATACTAGTGACAGTGGGAAAGCAAACAACATTTTTATTTTTGTATTTTTTTTATATATAAAGGTTCCCCAAAATCACAATATTTTTTTTGGTCTCCACTGACTGCTGAGTGGGGATCTGGTGTTAAATGCCCGGTCCTTGGGTTTAAATTGGCCGTTGAATTTGAAGGTCTCCCTGTTTGGTGTCATACTTCTGTTTGGTGTCCGTATCTGAGGCAGCGGAATTTGGGTCAAAATTGATCGGATGGCCACAAGTTGGAGATTTTTTTTTGATCGCAAGTTGTCATCTCCTATGGCATAAAAATTAATATTTTGCCACGTAATTAATGACCAGGTAATAGACACCCTTTTTCTTTATCCATGTTTTGGAGCACGGAAGAATATCCAGGGAATTGCAACTAAAAAAGAAAGAGAAATCGACAAATTAAGAAAATTTATTTGAAAAAAAATCAAAAAAAAAAAAAAAAAAAAAAAAAAATTAATTTAAATAACGATAGGAGAATATTGATAGACATGCAAATTATTTTAATATAAACATATTGCAAATTTAATTGAATAGTATAAGTATGTGTTGTGATGTCCTCTCTTAATGTTTTAATGTAAGGATGTTTAACGCCAGTTTCCTTTAAATTTCACCTAGTACTATATGAGCAATATCCAGGGAAAGCTAGAGGGTGTAGTCGTATGTTTCAATTCGAGCCAATTTTGGCTAGTGAGGCCGTTGTAAGAGAGCTCCTTTACAGTAGGTAATATTTTGTTTAGAATTTGAGGTCTGAAAAGTGCAGACAAAATTCCCTAGGTTTCTCACAAGGAAAATTTGCTATTTTTCATATGTTTACAATTTTTTTTAATCTGGTGTTAGATTGTCCGTTTTAAAGATCGACAAAATGTATCTGTATTTAGCTGTAAGTCCTTTCTGTCAATAAATAATGTTGTGATTAGAATTAGACTAAAAATAAACTATGTGTTAAATTTTTGTTAATAGGGCAATTTTCTAGCTAGGTAAAGAGGTGAGTGTGTGTGGGGTCTTCAAAAAATTACTTTAAAAAGGAACCCTGAAGACCATGGAAGGGTGGGCGAATGCGGGAGTAGAAACATCAACTCTCCCTTGTCTGAGCAGGTGTTGTGTTTGTGTAGTGTATTGTATTTGTGATGTGTAAAGTTCCAATTTCGTGTTCGTCCTGAGGTGTTACAAAGTGACGGTTGAGAACCAGACCCCGAGACCGCTAGCAGCCGGAGGGTCACTTTTAACGCCGCCAATCAGGAATACGTAACAACATGAATTTGGCCGAGCAGAAATGTGCATATTGTAAACTTGACATTTAATTGGCAGGGCTAACAAGGTTAAAAAATGTATTGATACATTTCAATAAAGAAAATGATCAACTTGAAAACTAAAGGAAAAACTAATATTTGTAGTGCAAAAAACAAAAAGAGAAAATATGGAGCAACTGATGTATTCACTTTTGGATAATTCCAGCAGTGAAGAGGACTGGCTGAATGAGGAATCAGATTATTAATTATTATTATAAATTATTAATTTTAACTTATCGTCTTCAATACTCATTTTTTAAATGTTGGCGCTCTTTTCAGTAAGGTTTCACCAGTCCGATTTAGGCTGTTTACTTTTGGAATTTTGAATTTTGACATTTTATCGCATTTCTGCTAATTTTCCGTTCCCTTATTTTTTGAGCAAACCTAAATGAGAATGACATTTCGAACTGTTTTCTCTTCTGCTAGTTTTACTACTAAAAAAGTACTGGAACACAACTTATGTTGTTATGATACCATACCAACAGAGGTATTTCCACTGGGTTGCCAGATTTTGGCTCTGTCCTGTCCTCTGTCTTTATACTTCAATGTCTTTGGTTAAAGTACGTTTACATATAAAATCTTTACCCTCTTGTGATTTGTCAATTACCAGGACTAAGGTTGCATATACATAAAGAGCATATTTTGCTGGCTTAAGTCATCGGCTTGCTTCTTTTTAGATGAACAAAGTAGTTTTAGGTTGACATAGTTCGATTTTGGCCCTAGGCTCCTTTGTTCATTTCCGAAGAAGCCAGCCGATGACTTAAGCCAGCCAGATAAGTGCTTTATGTATTTCCACCCTAACTCGTTTTGAGATTTTGTATGCACTATTAGAGGAAAAAACTGTAGTTTTTTGGAATATTTGCTTTTGGCAATAATGATGTCATCATTGGTTTATTGTGAATGAAAACAGTTTTATTCAATATATCAACCAAAAGCACGAAAAATGTAAACGGTTTTATCGACCAGGGTATTCTAAATACAATTATTTAGCTAAAGCAAAAACCAACAAAATGACTTTCAGGGTTGCCGTGATTTGTGAACAAAATTTGTTTGCAAAAGGATTTTAGAAATGTCGTCACTTTGGATAATAAGTTTATGATTTGCTTACATTTGCTCTGTTCCAAAACCTACAAAAATCTTTTTTTTTGCATTTTTTATATTAAAAAGGAAAAATCGTTTATCGTAGTAAAAATGTTTACATTCTTGCAGCTCTGGAAGTGACCAATTATTATGTTTAAATTTTTAGGACTTGATACAAATAAACGTCATATAAAGTTTTCTAATAAAAGTTATGGATGTCTTCGCGTATGGAGTTTCAATGAACGAGTATTGAGAGGATGCTTTGATTGGGAGACAATAGGTCTCTCTGAAAGCACAAAAGAAATAAACAATAGAAAACATCTGATTGAATGTCGATAAATAAGAAGAAAAAGAGTTGCAAGTGATTGCAAGAAGAAATTTGTCCAGCAAGAATTTGCAAACTCTCACTGAAAGAACTGTCAAAAATTTCCTTACTCTCTCAGAAAGAAGTTGCTGGAAATTTTCTGCAGGAATGTTGGCAAACAAAACTAATACCTTCAAATAAAAAGTTTCCTCTGAACATATAACTAACCAATATACAGGGTGAGATTGAAAAGCTGCAACAAGGAAGTGGACGGAAGAAAACAGCAACATCAGCACAAATGGTTCGAAAAGTAAAGAAGCGACTTGAATCACGCAGTCGCAGTGGCCGAAAAATGACTCGTGAGCTGAACATATCGCAATATTCCATTCGGCAAATATTGAAAAAGGAGCTCGGGGTAAAGCTATTGAAATTCCAAAAAGTGCAAGAACTTACACCGCAACAGAAAGAAAATAAACTCAAAAGAGCTAAAGAGTTGCTTCGCTTGGCCGAAAGTTGTGAACTGCCGAATTTGGTTTTCTCCGATGAGAAAACATTCGTTGTCCAGCAGTTTGTAAACAAACAAAATGGTCGTGTTTACTTGCCAAAGAGGTCAACTGAAAATATGCAAAATATTCGGTTGGCCACCAGAACTCAAGCGCCGGCCATGGTGATGGTGTGGGCCGCCATAACAGTTGATGGCCGCTCTTCGCTCGTATTAATCGACCATGGCATCAGAATAAATGCCGAATAGTATCGCGAAAATATTCTGGAGGATGTATTAAAGAGTTGGGCACGCAATCGTTTTGGTCGCAGACCTTGGACATTCCAACAGGACTCAGCAAGCGCACCCAAGAATGGTTACAAAATGAGGTTCCTCGCTTCATTTCCAGCTCACAATGGCCACCAAAATCTCCGGATACCAATCCATTGGACTATTGTGTCTGGAGTATTTTGGAAAGCAAGGTTGGCACTAAAAAGCGCTTCGCCAGGAAGGGGCCAAAATACCGCAAAGCAACATTCGGGCAGCGTGTCAGGGTTTCATTGGCCGTTCGTGCTATAGGTGACCAATTCGAAAAAGTCTAAACATATTCTAAAATTTGATGCTATTTCCGACATTTTTTCTTTTCATGCAATGAAATCAAAGAAATAGTAAAAATCATGGCGTTTGATATTGTTGCAGTTTTTTATATCCTTCAACATACATAGTATGGAGGGTATATTAAGTTCGTCATTCCGTTTGTCCCTCCACCCGTCTGGCTGTTGTAATCACGTTAGAGTCAAAACGAATAAAGATAGGAAGCAAAAATTTTGCACAGATCAGTTGTCAGCAGGCAGTTTAAGTTCGAAGATGGGCTATATCGGTCCACGATATTGTATAGCCCCCATACAACGGTACCACCCAATATTCGGTATAATGATTACCATACAAGGAATTCTTTCTGAGTACTTTACCCTCTGGAAGAGAACTATTTATATAGGTCCACGATATCGTTTATCCCCAATATAACGGTACCTATATTCGGTATTTTGATGATTTTAGCAAATTTTTTCAATAGAATTATCTAAAAATCTATACTATAAGTTCTTTCCAAGCACTTTACTCCCTGGAAGAGAAATATCTATATAGGTTCAAGATATCGTATAGCCCACATACAACGGTACCACCACAGAATTTTTGGCGAATGTTATTTTTTGAAAATTTCCAAGTTAGTTCCAAATGATGGAGGGTATTCAAATTTCGTCCCGGCCGAACTTACTGCTTTTTTACTTTTTTTATCTCTCCCTGTAGTTCTGAAGCAACTCTACCGATTTCATTTAAAATACACCATCTCTCTTGTACAAACATTTTCACTTTAATAGTTTACATTTGTGGTTATTATACAAGTCAAGTGATTGCGCTGAATTTGATGTATTTTAATCCTGATAGACAACTTACATAAGGAGTCGAAGACCATCAAAATTACAAAAATGCCATTTAAGATGTAGCGAATAAAACCCATTGATCCAAGGCACCCAAAGTTTTGAACCATCTACAAAGTTGTGTCAAAATAGATCTTTTCCCCACCAAAGACTACCTTTTATGATAAAGATGATAAAAATTAATATGGAACTTCCCACTATCCCATCAGAACACTAATAATAACACGAAAAATTGTAATTTTTTCAATAAAGATTTTTATTAATTTTTATGGGCATTCTTTTTTTATTTTGTGTTTTTTTGTTTTTCTTTCATTATTTTAATTGTAAATTTTATAATTATTATAAGTTTTTGTAAATTTTTTATAATAATAATATATATATAATATTATGTGAATGACAAAAAATTCTTACAATTTTGATTAAAATACATAGAATTATGTATATAGAATAATATACTTTGGTTTATTATTTGTATGGCTTTCTTTTGGTTTATTATTATTGTTTTATATTTAACACCTTAAACATTTAGTATATCTTTTCTTTAGTTTACTTTTTATATTTATGTATAACTATGTAAATAATAAAGAAAAACTTGAAATAAAAAAAAAAACAAACAAAATAAGAAAAAAAACATAAAAAAAATTTATATATAAAAAAACTGATTATAAAAATTGTGTATAAACTGTAATAATAAAAAAATAATACATTATTGTTGTTTATTTGTGTGTGTGTGTGGGTGGAAGAAATGGTTATGTACAAAGTTGTTTTTTTTTATTAAATAAAAAATTGTAACAAAATAATGGGAGGAAAGATCAATGATTGGTGGTGAAGCAGTTGTATTAACAATAATATTTATTAAGTTTTTAAATGGTATAGTTAAAGTTATTTTGTGTAATAAGGCCTTAAGGGAAAAACAAAACGTTTCTGTTTGTTTTTGTGTGTGTGTGTTTAAGAGAAGTGTTTAATTAAGGTTTGGTCTTAAAAATAATAACAGTGTGTTTTAAGGATTTTAAAGCGTTAAATTATGCTAATTTTTTGTTTAAGAGTAAAGGTTTTCGGTTTACATCTAAATTCATAATTGTATGTTTTTTTTTAATTTTAAGTTTATTTGTTATTAATTTCAATTTTGAGCATAAGTTTAAAGTGTATTTGTTGTTTATAGTACAAGAGTGTCTTTGGATTTTCTAGCTTTGTGTGTAGTATTTTCATATTTATAAACAAAATACAATTTTGGTTTTTTATTTGGTATATTAAAAAAATGTTTTCAACTTAACCGAACTTAAATTTATTAAGTTTATGTTGTAAATTTAAACAAGTTGTTATTTAAAAATAATAAATAAATGCAGTTTTTTATTACAAAAAATATATGTAAATATATTTATGTATAGAGTATTGACCTTTTCATGGAGGTGGTGATTGGTGTGGTAATTAATTGTTTTTCTTTTTTTTCGTTGTTTTGGAAACCTTGTTTGTTTTTGGTGGATATTTTTTTGGAGGGTGGACAAACTAAATGTAAAGCTTAAATGAGTTTGAAATACAAGGATTTTTTAATTAAATTGGGTTACTGGCGATTCCTATTGTTTAGTAATTCGTTGTTAGCTTTATGTGTCCACAAATTATTTAAAAAGCAAATTATTGAAAATTATTTGTGTTTTTATATTAGTTTCTTCTTTTTTCTTTTTAAGTTTAGTTTTTTTTTTTTTATAAATTTGTGTAGTTTTTTTGTATGGTATATTTTTCTTATTGTCCTTTGAAATATTTTTAGTATTTTGCTATATTTATTTTTTACTCATGTACATAAATTTATTTTTTTGTTTAAATTACAACACAACTCCTTTTATTTTAAGAAAATGTTTTTGTTTTCTTTTAAATTGGTTTAATATCATTAGGAAAAAATCTCTATTTTGTGTACCATATAATTAAGTTTTTCTTTGTATTTAATTTTAATTTTATTTAAAACTAGCTTTCCTTTTTTAAGATAATTAAATATTTTTTAATATATAAGGCCAAATGAATAAGTTTAAGTTATTTTTTAACTGTTTTAAGCTTAGTTTTAATTAATTTCATTTTCATACAAATCTATCTTATAAAGAAAAAAGAACTAAAACAAGAAACTTTCATTGGTTTTGGTTTCAATTTTTTGTTTGGTATTTATGCAATCGAAAAAACCCCTTGTGTGTTGTAATGAAAGTTCTTAATGGAATGATTTGGTATAGGTATTTGTTTCAACTAAGAAAATTTTGAAAATAATTTTTAATCTAAAAGCCAATTTTTCAATATATATTTTTATTACACCAAAAATTTTGTTGATTATTATTTTTTTATTGGTTTCTTTGAGCGGTGGGTGTTTTTTTTTTTGTTATTATTGTTAACTGATTTTAGTTTTTATTTGTAAATAAAAAAATATTGGTGTAACTTTCAAATTGCGCACTTAATTTGTATATTAGAAAAAAATCTTATTGTATTGAGAGAAATTTTGAAATCAAAAATTGCTTTAAACCCAGCCTGTTGTTGTGGACAAAATATTTAAACAATGACTTCAATAAAACATTCAACTGAATTTTAATCAGATTTGCAAAGATGTTATTCACAATCACATATGGTATAATATTGCTCATTCAGATCATGTTTTGAAAATACATCATTTAAAATATAAAAATTAATTGCTTTGAAACCCAGCCGTATATGTTATGCTTATAAGAAAAATATTGCATATTTAAAATTGTTTTGTAAAATATAAAATATTGTAATTTATTGCAAATAATATTGAACATATAAAATAATCATGAAAAAAATAACTTAAAAAAATCAATACTTTAATACCTACAAAAATAAAGTCGCCTACCTATATATAACTATATAGATTCAAAAAAATCAATAACCTATACTTTTCAATGAGTATTTCGATAAAGGTACTGGCCTTTACTTCTCGCTTAAATTAATACAAAAATTATATGTAAACCTATTAAACAAAAGGAAGCTCTAGTGAATAATGTTTCTTTCCAAATACAGAAACAAAGAAACAACAAATATACAAACTTAAAAATTACAAAAAAAAAAAAAAATATAATTATTATAGTACATAAAACTAATAAAAATTAAAAAAAAATAAATTCGAGACGAAAGGTTTTTTTTTAGAAATAGTTTTTAAATTCAGCAACTTTTGAAAATTAAAAAAAAATATTTGAAAATGTAAGACATTTTAACCATGAACATGAACAGAAAATATGGAAAAAAAAACTTATGTGCCTGCACAAAAATCGAAAATCATTTAAAATTAAAAAAAATATATATATGAATATCGTTTGGTTTTCAGCATTTCAATTTTAAGAAAATACAAAAAATTCTTAGTTGGTCTGTTATAATATTAAGTACGCTTTTAAGTGCGATTTGGAGTTAGCATTTGGGTTTTTCTTTAGATCAGCAAAAATTCGAAGAAATTTGAAATTAAAAAAGAAAATCGTTTAAATATTTCGAAATGGGGGGTTCTTCTTCCCGTCTATTCTTTTGCTCTTTTAATTCATTAAGATTTTTGGGTTATAAAAATCGAACGGTGCCGTGGTATTTGTTGATGATGCCGTGGATGCGTTAAAATGATGTTGCTGCTGCTGTTGTTGATGTTGTTGCTGGGAGGACGGTAAGTTTGTATGCACGTTTGATGGCGAGGGACCATTGAAGCGAGGAAATCCAGTTGCAAAGAAGCCAGGATTTCTATTCATTGGCGATGTCATGGTATGAACACCAACATTGCCACGCAATAACGCAGGACCTGGTAACTGAGGTGGACCCACTGACCTGGGATTGGTAAAGTTTGAAGGACTCAACAGATTCCAGTTATTCATTAGGTGTGGCGGTGGTCTTACGGCTGCTTGCTGTTGCTGAAACACAGCCATTGAAGGTAAATGATGTATGTGATGTTGATGTTGCTGTTGTTGTTGTTGACGCAACGCATTAGCCATATTGAATTTTTTACGAAACTCATGCATATTCAACATACCATGATGGTTAGCTGAATTGCGTCTTGTGGACGTTGTTGTAGATTTACCCATCCCACTCGCAGAAGTAGTCATTGACGACCCCAACGAAGTGGTGACATTAGTATTATTTGTAGCGCAGGCATTCGATTGTCCATTGTCGCTTACCTATTCCCTGTATGGTTTGCAGTAGGAGTAACGGTGGTTCATGTGCTGTGAATAGGAGCCGGAATGTGAGAAACGTTTTAGGCACTTGGAACATTGGAAGGGCTTTTCGCCGCTATGCAAACGTTTGTGTTCCGTCAAATGATGCTTGTGCTTGAAAGCCTTGGGACAGTCCATGCACTGATAGGGACGTTGGCCGGAATGCTCATACTTATGTCTCGCCAGCGAGCTTTGTTTAGCAAATGCTTTATCACATTGATCACAAATGAAAGGCAAATCAGGATCACCGGCATGGCCATGGGTCTCGGCCTTGGCCCGCTTGGGTTTGGGTGGCATAAGTGCGGCCGCCGCTTGGGCCTGAGCGTGGGCGTATTCATCTTCATGTGATATCCGTGAATCATCATCACGCCATGAACGTTTCTCGGAGTTAGGACTTAGACTGTTGCCTCTGAAGTCGAGAGTGGGACCCATTTTAATACTGTTCATTAGCGGATGTTGACGGGCATAGTCTGCTGAGCCGGGTGTCATTTGAAATAAAGCTTCCATGGGCATAAGACTGCGCTGGGCAGCTGCCATGGCAGCGGGCATCATGTATGGAGGTAATTGAGAGAATGAAGGGAATGCAGCAGCACCACGTGGCGTTGAAGTCTGTTGGGGACCCAAGAGCGGAGCCTCAATGGGTGAGGGCGTCTGGCGCATATTGTGAGGTAAGTTGGGTGCACCATTTGCCTGCGAGGGTGCTGCAAAATAGAGAGCAGCGGCAGCAGCTGCAGCTTGAGCTTGTTGCTTGAAAACTGCTGGCACGGAGGCAGCAGAGTTGGGCGATAATGAGGTGGGCGGTGACATTTTGCGGCTTAGATTAATGGCTTCGGCCAAATCTCCAGCCACATTGGCATTTGCTGTCTGCAGTGGAGCAATACCATATAACGGAGAATGTTGCTGTTGACCATTACCGGAATTTCGTTGAGGCTTCACCGATAAATCCAATGGCAACTCTTCGGAATTTGTAACAGGTTTGCTTAAAGGAGCTTCTTCGAAATTTTGCGTTTGTCCTGTGCCAGCCATTGGTGGCAACGGGGGCAAGGGGAATGCAGCTTTCAGGTTATTGTTATTATTGTTAATGTTGTTATATTGCATTTTACGTTCACGCGAGCGATTATTTTGGAACCACACCTGTACAACGCGAGCATCAAGTTGCAAACGAGAGGCAATCAAACGGAATTCTTCACGACTCGGTCGGGAATTGATGGCATAATGTTGCTTGAGATGTTGCTGCTGTTCCTCGGTAATGGCAGTGCGAACACGGACCTTACGTTCGGCATTACTTTCCCCGCCACTGGAACAATCATTACGTGAAATTGAATCACGTTCATCCTGCTCATCTTCAACATCACTAGCAGCCATAAAGGAGCTGGAGTTTTGGGATTGGTCCAAAACTTGTTGCTGCTGCTGCTGATATTGTTGCTCCAATTCCTGTTTAATAAAGCCACATAATACCTTTTCGTGTTGTACCAATTCTGTGGGATGATTAAATTTCTTATCACAACGGCTGCAACGTAGTTCGGCAATTGAGCTATTATTCTGATCTTCGGAGGGCTTTTCCACTTCTACCGATTCCTCTTCCTTTTCAGCGATTTCTAATTGCTCTTCAGATTCTTCCAGGTTTTCCTGTTTAATTTGTGTGGTAATATTTACCGGAGATTCCGGGGCATCACGACTTTCAGTTTGTTCCTGTTTAATGGATTTGGTATTGAGTTCTGATTTTTGTGATGCCTCAAATTCTTCGTTTTCTTGTGTTTCTTGGTGAGATTCTTTAACTTCATTTTCATTTTCTTGACTGTTGATTGAGGTGTTCTGTTCGGTTTCCTTGTTATCCCCTTCGCTGGCCTCCAAATCCATTACCAATTTTGGTTCGTCCAGATTATCTTCTTCATTTAGGTCCAAAGTTTCTGAGTGTATGTCTTCTTCTTCATCGGCATTACTGCTGTTGGAAATTTTCAAATCTTTGCTATTTTCCTCTTCTTCCTCAGCCTCATCATTTTGATGGCCGAATTGTGGTGGTGGTGTTAGTGTTTGAGACTGTTGTTCGGACTCCTGATTGTTATGCTGTTGCTGCTGTCCAGCAGCAGTCAATTCCAATAAACGTTGTATACTATATGGGTGTATACGCGGATCCAATGCCATGCTATAGAATGGATTGGGGAATGATGCTAGTAGGGCAGCATTCATGGCACTATTATAATCACCATATTTGGGTAGCAAATTTGAATAGAATGGATTGGTTGGAGGGGTGCCGGCGGCAGCAGCACTTGAATCCCCAGCAAAATAGTTCATGGGATTGGTTAAGTTGTTGACAATGTTATTGGCTGCATCACTTTTACCATTTGGCGAGGATATTTTAAGACTGTTCGGTGATGCGTTGGCGGATTTCAAATGATTACGACTGTTATTGAGCTTCAGACCCATGCTAATACATTTCTTGGAGGTCATGTGCGATGAGAAGGAGCCGGAATGCGAGAAACGTTTGCCACAGTTATCACAACCAAATGGCTTTTCGCCGGAATGTATGCGCACATGTTCCTTGAGGTGATGCTTAAACTTGAAGGCCTTATCACATTGATTACACTTGAATTTGCGCAATAAAGCCGACTCATCGTGGCTAATCATGTGACGTTGCAGGCGATAGACATTGGCAAAAGCTTTGTGGCATATTTTGCAACTCTGTAACGAAAGGGGGAGAGAGAAAAGAATTTCATTAATTAAGCGGTCATTGGCTTTTAAATTGAGAAATATGTATGTGCAAAAAAATATTTATGTTATCAGTTCTGCTATTTTCTAAGTCAAAAATCCATTGAGATAACCCATGGTGCGTAAACGTATTCAATTCAATTAGGCACCTATTTAAACTTTCAAATTTCCTACTGGGCATTGTGTGAGAGAGTCATATTGCCCTCTCCCAAAGTTGTTTGCAAAATTCTTTTTCATTCAATTTGCACATTTTCTGGTGTTTGAATATTTACCAAATGGTGTCCCAATGATAATTTCAAATTCATTTTTATGAAATTCTGTTCAAAATTCCCTTTAAAAACCACATTTCTTGAACTATTTACAATGTCCGCGCTCTCGGCTGATGTTCTCTCTTCTAAACTCAATTTAACACTACTGTTGTTAAAGGTGCAATCACACTTTTGCCTTTGTAATGCAAAGGAAAAAACACAAATTTGTGTTGCTGCTTTGTTGTTGTTGTTGCTGTCGGCGACAATGATTGCTGTCATCATCGTAGCGATCATAACATTGCTGTGTTCGTTTTGTCTGTCGATTTACCGGCCGTTGGTTTTCGCTGTCTCTTAATTGTCAATTAAGCTTTGTTGGAGGTAGAGTAGATGAATGTGTACAAGTATGTAGGTATGTGCACATGTGTGTCTATGAGAAATGTACCCCACCTTGTACAACAACAACAAGTAAACATAAAGGTGGGGAATTACACAAACAACATCAATTACAACCGCAAGGTGTAAACATTACAATACTCATATCCCCCAAAAAGAGAAATAGAGCAAATGAGCGTGAGAGCGAGAATAGTGAGCAAAATAAATAAAATAGTAGCAGTTTAATGAGCACAACAACTCTAAGTGTGGGGAGAATGAAGATGTTCTGGAAAGGGAATGTTGACAACGTTCATTATCCAAACAGAAAAAATCATAAATTTATGAGAGCACAAAAAAGAAGGAAAGGTGCAATGGTTGCATATGGCAACATATGGATGTAATAACAACAAACATGGACGAAGAGAGCATTTATCTTATTAGTGATGTAAAAAATAAAGAAATGCAGGTACTCATGGGGGGCAAAGTTATTATTTATACATTTTTGGGGTGAGATATTATTGTTATTTATACCTATTTGGGGTGAGATTAATATTAAAGAAGTTCTATGGGAACTCAATTTTTTGCAAATTCTGTGTAAGTTATTTAACATGTCGATGAAAAGCTAAAGCAGAGTGAAGACGTCGACTTAGTATATTTTTACTTTAAATTTATGAAAATATAATTTTGTATTTTTTTAACATAAAAATTTCCCTGAGTTCTGTAACATTTTTAAATGAATTTCTGGCAATATTGTTAATTTTTTTTCTTTGCAATGTATTCTTTATGGTCACCCAATATGCCCATCCAAATATGCCTCCATACATTATTAATATTTTTGTGTTTATTTATTTTTCAAAATCAAAAGTTTGCATATGGTCCACTTGAAAATTGAAAACATTGTAGAGAATGATAAAAAAGAACAAACAACTCAGGATAGAGGTATATTTTACCTTTCAAATAGATAACAGCGAAAATAAATAGAACATCTGGTTAATAGTATGGGTACAACAACCTGAATCTCAAAATGATTCAGGGCCATAGATAATTGTCTTTGCAGGAAAAAAGAAACACAATAGCTACCTCCTCAACAATTTCTAAAGTGCTTAAATTAATAATTTCAATTAAAAATTGGCGCCTATTTTTTATGGAACTTTATTTACATTTTTTTTTTCAAATTATTCTATATACACAAGTGTGTTGGCATGTTTCGCATTTAAATAGAGAAGCTTTGAGAAAAAATATATATAGATGTTAATTAATTTGCTTCAATTTAAGATGGGTTACTTATACACGCTCATGCCGTGTTATATTTGCGCGGTATAGTAACCAGAAATCATGAATCACTACCGCCATTTGTATACATACTGTCAGGCAACTACGCTGCTACACTAAGATGGAATGCTGCTGCTTGTAGAAAATGAAAACATGGCTTGATTGTGGTTTTATTTCCATTTCAGTTTCATTATGGACAAAGTTCAGTATGATATATAAGTAGGTATGTATGCATGCATACAAACCTAGGCACACAACATGTGTGAGTAAACTAATACTATTTTTTTTTTTACAACAATCAAATGCTGAAATGATATATCATGACTATGGAAGAACAAATGTGTGTCTGATGGTGCTTTGTGTGCCATAAATCGAGCAGATATGACTAATATCATTAATTAGCGTTTCAGTTTTTTTGCCACGTTTAGTCATTTGAAACCTCTTGAAATTTGTAATATTTTATTGTGAATTTTTCCTTACAGGTTTTTATTAAACCAATCAAATGAAAAATGAGATCATTTTTTAAATGTTGTTTTTTTGTTTAACCATTGGAAATTGTGTATAATTAAAGTTTTTTTTTCGTTTTGAAATTTGTTTTTATTTATTTTAATTATTTTGGGTGTTTTTTCCGCACATGTTTGTTGCTTCTTCAAAATAGAAAACACATTTATTGTTATAAAAACAATGACAAACGTCAACATCGTCAATGTTTTCATGCTGTTCCATTCAATTGGGGATTTGTCAAAATATTTAGTTCTATTGAATGCTTCTGACACAATATCGCCGGATATTTTATATAGGTAAATATAACAAAAACCAAAAAGCCCACAAAAAGCCACAGCATTTTTTGAAATTAAATAGTTTTTTTTCTTTTTAGAAACTTTTAGGCATGTTTTTTCGTCTTGTAGGAAACAAAACACATTGTCAAAATAAGAAATAAACAAAAAATAATATCCGTTTCCTGTTTGTCATACCTTGTTAATAAGTAAGCTTTTACTCAAACAAAACATAAACATTTGCTGGTAGACAGGGTGGCTGCGTCCATATTAATTTCGTTCAAATGCGCCATATTTTCCAACTTAACTTGACGTGTCATTCATTGGCTACAAATGTTTCAAATTTCAACAACCACATGTATTTGTTTCCATGGTAATTTTGTGTTTTTTTTTTTTTTCTATACAAGTCATGCCCACAGATAATATAAATGGCTGACTCCAACCGGTTACCTGTTACTTCCCAGACACACACACAACAATGTCTAACAAAATGCCATCTCACCTGCTCTTTTGCAAGCCACCAATCAGAGTAACGTTATTAACGGCCCCTACTCAGTTATTGTTGCACTCATCTCCCCCAAAAAATGCAAACTCAGAGAGTTGGGAGTTTGGGGTCAATTGAGTTGTAATTAATCTCTCATTGATTAGTCTTAATTGTCATTTCCGCGAGTTAAGTTGTGTTCTTCGTCGTTTGCCATAATTCTTTTGCAAATATGAGTGTATGCATGTGTTTGTGTGCTATAATTTAATAAAACGGAACTAATTGTTAAAAAACACTTAAACTTTGTAAGAAAACTATCGGAAAAGTGCAAAGGAAGTTATTGAATTTAATTCTATTGGAAAATTGCAAAGAAAATTCACGCAAAAAAGTGCGCGTCAGTTTTCATATTTTTTGGTGTGTTGTGCGTGTGTGTTTGTTCGTGGCGTCCTTTGTGTTTTAAGAATCGAAGGAAGAAAATAATCTTTATTAATGAAAAAATTGTGTCATTTTTAGAAAAGAATTATTGAAAATGCGATTTAGATTTGTGAAAAAATGAATGTTAAAGTGAAAGAACAAAGCAAAGTTAAGCCTAACTGAACCTGTTGCGTAATTCATTTTTTTCCCCTACTCGTCCATTATTTGCTGTCGCCGAATGACATCGTCTTTAACGAATCTAAGAAGAGACAGATAAAAGGTGAAATTCGTGTCGTTTTCTAAGTATTGTTGTTTTTGTGGTTCGATAATAAAAAAAAACTCCAGTACCCCACTCATCCATTTGTTGTTGTCCCCTGATTGTTGTCATTAATGAGTCTCAAAGAGAGATTCTTGGCGCTCTTGGCTTTGTTTTCTAATTGTTGTTGTCCAGTGCATGATAATTAAGAGAAAAGACAATTGGAGTGGAGTAAGGCTCCAAACAACGGAAAGAGAAAAAAAACAAAATCAAGGAGGGAAATATCAATAGAGTTGCCATAATGGAAAACTAATTATATTTAAACCGGATGGAATCCATTGAGTTAGAAAAACGGGAAACGGAAATATAATTGGAGTTGAACTAAAGAAGTAAGAGGGAAAATAAGAAATGAGGATTAGAAGCAAATATAAAAATGTTTGAAAGTGACAAAAAATAAACAGAGAGTAGTCATGTATAGAAGTTTTTGGAACCGATCCGGTTAGTGTACAAATTGAAAATAAATAAAAAATAAAATTAATTAAATAAAACTATTTATAAATTTAGTGAAAATTGGATCGAAAGTGAAAAAACTATAAAATTGAATTGCCATAATTAAAAACATTGCTACAAATGAGAGATGTATGGGAAGTGGGAAAATCATAGTTGAATGGAGTAAATAAACATCTTTAAAATGTACTAAGAGTTGTCATATCGTGTGAAATTATATGTAACAAATGAGAAAAAATACGAGAAAATAAGAATAAATATATAGGAAAAAACAAAATATGCGTATGAAAATTGTGTGTGAAGAATAGACGGAGAAAAACCCACTTAAGAAATTTGCTGAACTTTTGAATTTGTTTACTTGAACAATGTTGTGACTCCGAGATGTAAGGACTTGGGTAAGTTATTTTAGATAATCCATGTTTTCTAATATCACAATTTTAGTATTTCTGGAAATTTCGAATTAAAAAAAAACATACGTACGAAGTTTTTGTTTTATAATTATTTAACCAAAGCCATGTTAGCTAATGTTATTAATAACAAAGCAGAGCACCACAAAATTACTTACCAATAAATGACTCATTTAAATTTCTCTACGTAGCATTTCCCACTAAAATCCCCCTTTCTTTAGAAAACAAAACGTAATTTCC